ACAAAGAAAAAACAGTTTTTTTGTTTTTTTTAAATTTTTCAGTCTTATCATTTGTTTAGCAAAAAACAAAACACAGTGGTGATTAAATACCACCAAAAGAAAGCTCTATTTGTGTGAAAAAAAGGATACAGTGTCGCACAACCGCGCAGTTGTCATTCAGAGCGTGACCGCATTGAAAGCTGAAAATTTGTTTGGGCATGAAGGTGGTAAATGTGCCTGGTAGGCAAGCGGTTAAAGCAGGCATTTTATTTGATATGTATAGTATAATGGTGATTTCCTACCTTTTATTGAATTGCTGTTGGAGTGCACAGTTTCAGGCAGTGAGAAATCTAGCCTTCCTTGCTCCAAGAAAGGTCCTCTGTCCCCATTAAGCTCATTGTTTTAAATGTTTGCCAAAACTGTTTTATTAAGGCTTGCTGTGAATGATACCGGTTTTATTGCTTGAGCTCCAAACCATCTATGACGCCAACCATTTGATGGCTTGACAGTTTGATCAACTACATGGCAACTACAAATCAAACAGAAGCTAAGATGGCAGCGTCATTGACTGTAAAGGATAGGAGGGTTTAGTTCCACTTTAATATCCTGTTCACGAGATCAGTGCATGCTACACCCCCAACCACCGGACTACATTTCCCCAACCACCAGACTTATACATGTTCCACTTTAGTTCTTTAAAACGCAAAGAAATAATCAGTGGACTATGTTGTGGTGATGACACTCCACTTGTAGTCCACTGTCTACATCCTCACTTTCTAAAAGGCAGGCCATACACTCTGCAGTTTTCTTTCCTTCAACCACTGGTTGAAGGAAAGACAATCAATCGATCCCCACATCAACAAAACCTGTGTAGATGAGGGAATCCCTCCCCCTACTCTATTGTATTTTGACAGCAAGAGGTATCCTGACCGACCGTCAGAATACAATGATCCCTGCTGCAGCTATAGGCAGCGGCAGTGATCAAATGAAAAACAAAACCCTGACAGGCTGGTTGCACTGAAGTTGATCAACTTCAGTACAACCAGCCTGCTCATAGATGGATCAAAATTCAGCCAGTTCCCAGTGAACCGTTTGAATTTTGATCTGTTTGCTTCTGGATAAACTACAGTGTGGAACAAACAGGACCGATGGCTGGCACTGGGATGTAAACAATGAAGGAACCTTTACATTGCACCTGATTGTGGGAGCAATGCTCTGCAGGCTTCAGTTCAAATATTTGATAAATATCCCATTTTTTTATTTAATTATTGTGAATGTGTTTATTATATTTTTGCAAAAAGTAGACTGTGCCTTTTGAAGTTGAACATTTGGCAAAGCTGTGGTATCTTAGACCTGCTGAGCACCTGAATTGATCTATGTCCAAGTAGATCTCACAGCTACACCTCTGCTATAGTCCCATCTCCGACACAAGCCAACTGTGACTTATTACCACCAAGCTGCTCTCAGTAGCTTTCTTCACCTTCAGACATATGGCCGGATTTTTTCGAAGAAGAAGCTTTCAGCTTCGTCTGAAAATACTTGGTGTAGCCATGACATACAATCAAAACTTTCCATTGCTGATCGGCAGTACATCAAAGGTGTCCTCCTGGAGTTGTGTCTGAGCAGACGTGGATATTGGCCCTCCATCTGCAGTCCCAGTGTGCTCCCTCTCTACAGCAGCGGGAGATGGAGCCTCGTACAATCTGCTGCCTGCTAAATCTCTGACAGCAGCCCAAGTAAAGGCGAGACTTTATGAGGCTTGGCCGCTTCGTACAAATAAGGTACCAATAATGAAACCTGCCGTCCAGTTATTACAGAGGTGCCACCTTATTAGACGAAGGGCTGCCAGGGGATTATAAATCAATAGAGTGCACAATGAACAGATTAGTAAGGGGTCACCCTTAAAATGACTGCATATCCGCACTGTCAGCCATGTTAGCGGAAGGTTATTGTAAAAGACGTGCGTTTCCTTCATGATGTGATTGCAGCTTTTCTAGACTTATTCAGTAAGGCAATGAAGATATTAGGCTAAGCGCAGAAATCTGAATTAACCAATCGGATCTGACTTCATTGTAGCAAGGCCCGTTAGAGCTCCATTACGCCCACGCACAATCCGCGATGCGGCTGACGTTTATTATTGTATAAAGTAAAGTTTAACATGGGTTTTTGTGCGCTAACACTAACACAAGAGTTTTGCATTGTGCAAACACATAAAATCACTCCGTATGCATTTTGTACATTTGATTTTCTTTTTTGAGTCTTAAAGGAAGTATATATGTCTAGTTGATGTGTGCGGATTTTTGCATTGAATGTAATAGAAAAAAAAAAAAAAAGTTTGCATATATATATATAAATATATATATATTTTAAATACAGGAGACCCAGGAGGACCCCACTACACACACACACACACACACACACACACCTATTTTAAATCTCCTAGATTGTAAGCTCCAAGGAGCAGGGCCCTCTAACCCCTCATGTATCGCACTGTATTGTTATTGTACTGTCTCATGTATTGTCTCCCATTGTAATGTACAGCGCTGAGCAAACTGTTGGCACTATATAAATCCTGTATAATAATAATACCTTACCTTATACAGGAGGTCAGGGGTCGGGCTGCCTCCTCATCCCTTTTAAACCCGAACAAAGGAAGAGTGGTCCATCTTAATTAAGCTCTAACGAGCCGGGTCCTCTGTTTCTTCTTGTACCAAATTGTATTGTAACTGTAATGTCTACCTTCATTTTGTACCCTTCATTTTGTAAAGCGTTCCTATCAATTCCGAAGTGATGACCTGGTGCTAGGAAGGAGTTAATGCTTTTGAGAGGGTGCCCTACTGATGGTTACTAGAAGTCGAGACTGTGTTATGTTTTCAAAAGGGTGGTGCACCAAATATTAAGTTAAGGGTTACTGCGCAAACTGTTGGCGCTATAGAAATCCTGTATAATAATAATAATTATACAGGTTCTGTGACTGATTAAGGTGGTAATTTAAAATCACTTAGTGCCTTATCTGAATTCAATCAGCCTCAGAACCTGTGTAATTAATGTGTTTGGGTTTAAAGGAATGAGGTGGCAACCCTTGTCAGGGGTTATGCAGCCTCTGAGGACAATCAGGGGAGAATGAAAACTCCTCCCACAAGTTTTAACATGTGCTCTGCTGAACACTGATAGAAGTCACAAGATTGCTATATACTGCTGATGAGAAAAGGTATTTAGCAGTTTATATTTAATAAAATAATTGCATTTCCACGTTGTGTGTACTGTGGGAGACCAGATATAGTGGATGCAGGGTCCGGGGTTTAGTAACACTTTAAAGACCAAACTTTTTTTTTTTTTACTTTTGGATAGAGTTGGGAAGGATTAGAACCCTGTTAGGTTTTAATTGTGGTCTGTGCCCCTGTTAAGCTGGCCATAGATCGTTCAAATCTCAGCCAGTTCAGCAGGAACCAGCCGAGATTCGAACCATGTATGGGCAGACTGAATGTACCAAGCTGATCGATCAACTTGGGTACAACCAGCCTGCCAGATTTTACATGAAATTATTGCTAGCGGCTATTATAGTCACTAGCAGTAATCACTGTGTTCTCCCAGCAGAGATGGCTTCCCCTGCCCCCCACTGGGAGAACACAGTAGATCTGCAGGAGGGATTCCCCTGTCAGCTCGTGCTTGCAGGAAAGAAATACGCTCTGTCTATGGCAAACCTTAGGGAGATTCACCCTCTCTTTTTGTCCTGTTCACCATTATCATCAAAAGTAAAAGACAATTCCAAATGTTTGGTTGTCACCAGAACAGGAATAGAGGGGAAGTCTACAATTGGGGACACTAGTTCTGGTGATATACAGGCAATTCCTCACTCTCTTCCAGTTTGCTGTGTCTATAGGACAGGAAGTGAAGGAAAATCTCCCCAGTAGAACACAGATGGCAAAAAAAATAAATGACAGAGGTCATAACCTTCCCTTGCTCAGGTACTTATTTATTTCAGGTCCTTGTATAGCACAGTCAATTTACACAGCGCTTGGCATATACATTGTACATTCACATGAGCCCCTAACCCTCAAGGGGTGTACAATCTAAGCTCCCTAACTCACATTCATACATACACATACTAGGGACAATTTAGACAGGATCCAATTAACCTACCAGCATGTCTTTGGAGTGTAGGAGGAAACCGAAGTACCTGGAGGAAACCCACACAGGCACAGAGAGAACATGCAAACTCCAGGCTGGTGGTGCTGTGGTTGGGATTCGAACCAACGACCCCAGTACTCGATCCAAAATTTAAAAAAATGCCTTTCGTTCCACTTTAAGAGTAATTAAAGTGGAACTAAAGGCAGTGGAGAGCCCCTTCTGGTGGGTTGGTAGCCTATTCAGAATGAATGGGCAGCTTTAAGCAAAGGCATGGTAATGCATCTGCCTAGTCTGACCGGACCACAAAGGGGTAACCTAGCCCCGAGTGTGGAGATCTCATGGAGTTCCCGATCGGTAACAGAACCCAGAACAGGATTCCACACGCCAGACAACACACACAACTAAAATAATAGTTATGGATGGAGTTGACCTTTTAAACAAGCCTGGGATAAATCGAGGATCTCTCCTCAGACAAGCACTAATAAGAAAGACAAATGGCCAGCCTAGATGAAGCGCTGCTTTTCCCGCACTCCGTCTTCTAGAAGCCTGTGATCCAGTACAAATGTAAACTTAGAAATGTCGCGGAGGCATTTACACAAGACAGCAGCTTATGGCCCAAGGCCGTGTCTGTTTGTGCTTCCGCCGCCATCACCCCGATACCAGCACTCGTCCTCGGGCCCTGTCAGTCTGTGTCATCCAGCCGAACCCGGGGGAATTTCAGTCATGCTGGTCGCTCATTGTTTGTGCAAGTCCTTTGTTACTGTAAAGCTGCTTCTTTCCAGGAACTTAGTGATGGTGACTGAGCTTTTCCAGTGATGTCACTGGATCGGCCATCTAGCTGGATGGTACTTTGCTTGCTCTGCTGTCATCTGCCTATACTTAAAGTGTTACTAAACCCACAACCGTAAAATCAGTCTGTATATGCAGTAAAGCATGCTTGTTATACTCACTGTGGAACCTAAGGGGTTAATCCTCTGCATTGTGTAAAGAGGCTGTTTGATCCTGTCTTCTCTGCCCCTCCTCTTGTTCAAATGACCACCTGATACAGACTGAATCATAGTGACATGCACATTCTCAGTTTGGTGTGTATTGCTAGAGGGGTTATTTTTTTTTCTCTTGGGAGAGTGCATGTGATCAGCACAGGGCCAATCAGCACTGTCCAGACAGAGGGTCAGGGGTTCTGCATCCTCCTAGAACAGAAAGAAAACTCATACAAGCTAAAACCAGTGCTGAAGTCACATGCTCTGTTTGCTGTGTATTGCTAGCGAGTGTTTTTTTTTTTTTTGTTTTTTTTTTTGGGAGGGTGCATGTAATCAGCACAGGGCCAATCAGTGCTATTTAGACAGAGGGTCAGGGGCATGCAGCTTCATAGGACAGTTAGAGGAGAATGAAAGCTCCTCCTACAAGATTGCTTGGCCGGACACCGATAGAAGTCACAAGACTATATACTGCTGATGAGAAAAGGTATTTAGCAGTTTATATTTACTAAAATAATTGCACTTCCATGTTGTGTGTACTGTGGGAGACCCAGATATAGTGAATGCAGGGTCCGGGGATTAGGAACACTTTAAAGCCTAACTCTGGGCAGCTAAAGAAAAAATAAAAAAATAAATGTCTCTTGTAGCCGGGCTGTGCCTGCACAGCAAGGATTAATTGCTCATTTTGGTCTTTGGCCAATGGTTGTCAACTTATGAGCTAAAGGGGACCTCACATGTGGCCCCTGACATTACCAAAGGGCCACATATAATGTTCTGTATATGTAATGCTTAAGAGGATTGTTGGAAGCTGCAGACCTAATAGAGGAAATGAGGGTCAGAGAGTGCGCACATGTTGCATTGTTGCTGCAGAGGACAATATAAAACTGGGAACATGTTCCATGAGGCTAGCAGAGATCAATGCTATTACCCTAATCAATAATCCCACTACAGACTGCTAAGGTCTGAGGGCCGAACATCATATACCAAAGGGCCCCAGGGCCTCAGGTTGGGCACCAGGGGTCTAGGGAAACAATAAAGGAAAATGTACATACCCAGTCTTCTGCTCCTCCCCCTCCCTGCAGCTAGACCGGTCCCTGATGCATCTTCTCCCCTACAGTATAAGGTTCTAAAGTCATCGAGACCAATGCAGGGTCCATAGCCTTACACTGGACATGAGGCACTGAGATACAGCACCACCGGAGCGTGGAGGAGCACCATCTACAGAGGGAGCAAAGGATCAGGTAAGTATAATTGCTTCTCCCCTAGACATACAGAGCCATTAACCCTTTCTGTGTGGGCGCAGCTCCTCTGCACGAGACAACTTTACATTTTTTCAAAGTTGGCCTTTAAAGGGTCTGTGAACTCACACAATGAACTCCTCTTATTGGTTTCCTTTGGGTCTGTTAACAAAATGCTTTCAATAGTATATTTATCTGTTTGAGTAGTGTAAAAAAAAAAAAAAAAAATTAGTTGATCTCGCCAAAAAATGTCATTTGTTAACCTCTGGTACTGCACTTTAATCAATACGCCTTCATTCACAATTGGTTAATCTCTAAAACATTTGCTGTGCGAATGTCTCAAGCATTTCCTCTGCTGTCATTAATAATCCCCATATTTTGCCTAATACATTTTGTTCCAGTGATCATTATCCCCACCTAGTGGCCATAATGCAGAATTTTCCTGATTTGAGGTGTTTCAGGAAATTACCATATTATGAGCACTAGATGGAGTTGATGATCACAGGAAATAAATATATTAGGCAAGATATGGGGTTATCCTTGACAGCTGAACTAACGCTTGAGACATTCGCACCTTCTTGAGCGTGGGAGACGCTTGTTGTCCAAATCAAGTAAGAAGCAAAGGGTGACAATGCTACTGCTCCATAGATACAGTACAGAAAGTGAGTGTTGTTGTTCAACCTAGCGCGGGAATTGTGTTTACTGTCAGGATCACCAAGTGAAAATGAACGCTGCGATATATTCCATTTGTGGTCTCCGTTTTAGATTCCATTTAAATCTCCACTTTTAGCTGGAAGTTCATACCTGGAAGTCAGGGAGGACCCTCTCTGGTGTTTGTGCAATGTGTTCAGAGTCATCTTACAATGTGTTCAGAGTCATCTTACTCAGCAGGAAAGGACGCTTTAATTGTTTATATTCCAAACAAGCAAACGCATCGCCCGGCTTCCTTTGTTCACAGAGAGGCAGGCGTCTGCTTTCCAAACGAATATTAAGTAGAGGCTGCGGAGGATGAGATGGGACAGAGGGCTGAGGATGTGAACCGTGCCATCGGTGTAATGTCAGAAGAAGACATGCGTGGCAATACGAGACGCTGTGTTGTTCTAGTTTCTGACCCGTGTAATCTACATGCTTTGTTTTATACAGGAAAATCGTTTATTCCTCTCTGATTCCTGCAGGAAACAAACACGACTCAGCCAATGCAATCTGGAAGGAAAGTGGACCTGTAGTGTGCAACTTATCCCAGTATCTTATTAAAGAGCAGTCCTTGATCTCCAGGAAAGTGGCTTTGCTTAGGGTGAGAGGTGCAGTCTGGGAGAATGTTATAAATCTGCTGCAGCCAGGAAGAAGCATTTTCTCAGTCTCCTCTTTACTCTGTGTGTGCTGCTGCATGGGCTGGTCTGTGTCCAACTTCTGTGAACTCAACCGAGACAAGCACAGGGTTTACACGACTGTGTGATCTCTAAAGCTGGCCATAAATGGCTCAGTTTTTTATTCCTCCTTCAGCCAGCTGGCAGAAGGGAAAAACAGAACCGATTTCCCCATCTACACTTTCGAGGTGAATGCAGGAATCCTCCCCACCATTTTATTGTATTCTGACACCAAGATTTCCTCACCATCAGAATACACTGATCAGCACTGCAGCTGATTGGCTGCAAGTGCTGATTGAATGGGAATTTTCTGGCAAGCCAGTTCATGAGATAATCATTAGTTCAACTTCTCATGAGCAGGAGCAGTCATAGATTAATTGAAATTTGTCTGGTTCCTGTGAGGTGGATGGAGGAATCCTCCCTGCTGGGACATGGTATCCTGACAGCGGGACTCTCAGTGGCTGCAGCTGCTGATCAGAAAAGGTTTTCTATTAGATCAACCATACTCTTTCACAAAAGATGGGAGGGCAGTGCCTGGGGGCCGCTCACTTGTTAAATGTGGCTTCCAGATTCTGATGTCACCCCCACTACCACTAGTCCAGGGTTGTAAAGAGGCCCTTGTCCCCATTATCATCAACCCCCCCATGTTGAGGGCACGTTTCAGGTAAGGGTTGGGTATGGATTTGGGGGGGGTCGGAGGAGGCTCACACCATTTTATTTTTAAGTTTTCTTTGGTGAAGCCACTCCCCCCCCCCCCCCCCCCCCCTCCTCAGAATCCATTTGTGTACATCCATTTGATTTACCCATAGGAATAAATTGCTGTTCATTTTCCATCTGTCAACAGATGGATGAAAAAACAGACAGACAGAACTCCCGAGTGAAAGACACCTAAGGCAGCCTTTTTTGTTTCCTGATCCTGATAGGTTCCCTTTCAAAGGGGTCCAAGCCCAAAATAGAGGACGACAAGAAGATCCCGTGAACTAAGAATGCCGTTCTCAGTGTGCAGTGCTAAAGTCCGATGTTTAAAGTTCTGGATTTTACAGAAGTTAGATCGTCAAACATTCTGAGAACTCTTGATCCGGCTGTTTTCTTTTTCTCCCCATCGTTGACAGAATATTTACAGAGTAAGATTATGTTTGACAAGGGAAGAACATTGAGGAACCTCCATTTTGTCCACTTCTGCTTTTCTGCTGTGTTTATAGCCAGCATAAATGAATGAATGCGCGCAGTGCTGAATAGCAAAATATGGCCTGCTCATGAAGGGGGTAAAACCTTCTTGAGCTGAAGTGGTTGAAGCAGGTGGGAATATCCAATGTTATAGACACCTTCTAATACATTTTATAAATATGCGGACACCATCAATGATCTTGCTTCGTTTCAGAAAAAAGTTAATAGTTCTGACCATGCATCTCTTCTTCCTGATAGTCGGGGGCGAGGTTACAGGACACTGTGCAGACATGCAGAGTTCCTGTATTCCATAGTCTGCTCAGCCTGGGGCAAGATGTAGGCTGTGCTTGAGCAGGGGGTGTGTTCAAGATCCAGGCTGTGCATTGACAAGGGGGGGGGGGGGGAGGCAGCCTGCCAGAGGCAGCCTGTGATTGGGGGGGGGAGGTGTGTGTGTGTGCCAGAGGCAGCCTGTGATTGGGAGGGGGGGTGTGCCAGAGGCAGCCTGTGATTGGGAGGGTGTGTGTGTGTGCCAGAGGCAGCCTGTGATTGGGAGGGGGGGTTGGAGGCAGCCTGTGGGGAGGGGGTGTGTTCAAGATCCAGGCTGTGCATTGACAGGGGGGGGTGTGCCAGAGCCAGCCTCTGATTGGGAGGGGGTGTTTGTGCCAGAGGCAGCCTCTGATTGGGAGGGGGGGTGCGCCAGAGGCAGCCTGTGATTGGGAGGGGGTGTGTTCAAGATCCAGGCTGTGCATTGACAAGGGGGGGTGTGTGCGCCAGAGGCAGCCTGTGATTGGGAGGGGGTGTGTGCGCCAGAGGCAGCCTGTGATTGGGGATTGGGAGGGTGTGTGTCCCAGAGGCAGCCTGTGATTGGGAGGGGGTGTGTGTGTGCCAGAGGCAGCCTGTGATTGGGAGGGGGTGTGTTCAAGATTCAGGCTGTGCATTGACAAGGGGGGGGGTGTGCCAGAGGCAGCCTGTGATTGGGAGGGGGTGTGTGTGCGCCAGAGGCAGCCTGTGATTGGGAGGGGGGGTGTGTGCGCCAGAGGCAGCCTGTGATTGGGAGGGGGTGTGTGTACCAGAGGCAACCTGTGATTGGGAGGGGGGTGTGTGTGTGCACCAGAGGCAGCCTGTGATTGGGAGTGGGTGTGTGTGCCAGAGGCAGCCTGTGATTGGGAGGGGGTGTGTGTGTCAGAGGCAGCCTGTGATTGGTTGGGGGGGAGGTAGTGGCTGAACAAACTACCCAATACCGACATGTTGTGTGTCTGCACAGTGTCCTGTACCACTGATCAGCTTATACACTTTGTGTAGTCAGTTTGTAACAAGGAAGGAAGGTGACCGTCAGGAGCAACCAGGTACGAATGATAAAAATACACATAAACAGACATAAACAAACACACAGAAAAAAAATAAGGTAACAAACGCTATCTGGGTCAAAGGGTGGTATTTTTTTCAGTTTGCCTGAAGTTCATTTTCTACAGTAAGTGATTCCCTTCAATGTAAAAGTAATCCCTACAGCTACAGTCACTGGAGTACTTTTACAGGTAGCAGAAGGGGCCCTTCTTCCTGCTGCTGTAATTTTTATCTGGCTCTCTCATCCCATCGGGGAGCCCAGTAAGGATGCAACCAATATCATAAACTTCCCCAAACAGGGTGAAAGGAACTGATGTTGTTCCTCCCACCGTGTGACGTCAGAAACTGGAAGCAAGAAGGATTTCGGCACTTTGTTTGTTTATAAGCCGATGCAGGCTTGTGAAGCAGCTGATTTTGGTTTACGAATTTTTCACAATACAAAACGTCCC